AATATTTTTTTTTATATCCTGATTGTTAAAGAAGCGTATTCTGGTGAGTCGATTACTGCGTAGATAAATTCTCTTTGAATCTTTGTGTCAGTTTACCCCTAAAACGTTGGATACACAACCTCCATATGGAATAGAAAATATTTTTTTTTATATCCTGATTGTTAAAGAAGCGTATTCTGGTGAGTCGATTACTGCGTAGATAAATTCTCTTTGAATCTTTTCACAAAGCTACACGAAAGCTATCTGCGCTAGCCGTCCCTAATTTAGCGGTGTAAAACCACAGGGAAGGCAGCTGTTCATCACTACCTACCGCAAACTCTTGGGCTACCAACGAATAGTGGGATTAACCGTCACATTATAACGCCCCCACAGCTGAAAGGGCGAGTATGTTTGGTGGGACGGGGATTAGAATCCGCGACCCGCAAATTGCGAGTCGAGTGCCCTAACCACCTGGCCATGCCACACCAATATAAGCTTAAATACTTCCAAACAAGAAACTAGAAATGTCGGTAAACAGAAATTATTGGTTAACTAAAAGGTTCTAGGTGGGTTTCTATAGACTTATTATACTAAATATTACATATTCTACCTACTAATTCTAATGTTTTCTTAATTTTTACTGTGTTTTCGATGTTGTAAAATAGGATTAGCACATTTCTGAATCACTAGCCGTAAAGTTCAACTTAATGTTTTTGTCTGATTTTTTTAAATGTATACAAGACATATTTGTATATTATAATTTTTGTTAAACATAGCTGTAAACACTATTCAATAAATTTGAATTTTCTAAAGGTGCAACTTTGCAAGTATTTGAAGTCGTAAGCAATATTGTAGATATAGTCATTTTTTTGTAGTTTGAACAGTAAATGTTTTTGGAAGTCAAGAGATATTTTTGCATAACTCGATAACTATGGGGCATCATAGTTATAGGTAGCTTTAGGTCTTTATTTAAGTGTATTTAATAGAAAGGTATTGTCGAAACTGTGCGTGTCATCATAAAAGTTTAAATTAGAACTTCGGGCTCTTATTTCAGAAAATAATCAAATCCCAATTACAGCATGTAATACTCCGCAATAAGAATAAACAAACTCCACTTTGTGGCATATGAAGAAGAGAATAGACTAAGTACTTGAAAATATTATGCAATTCATAAATGTACCGACAAACCCATTCCAGGCTGTAATGATCCATTAGTATAGTATGTATTATACCACTTTGCCTACAATGTACATACTTAAGTGTATTTTTTCAGTTAATGTTTGGATAAAACCTTCATATATTTATAGAAACGATTTTCACATCAGTGAACGTCATAAATGTTGTGGTTAATATTATATTTGCGAAAGATGCGAGAAACTTAAACCATACAACCGTTAAATATAAGTGGAAAAAAAGACCCAATTGGCTGCCTTGGAGGTATCATTGTAAAGATCCTAGGAAATGGCGTAATATAGATTCGATTCCAGATCAAAGATCGAAGATAGAAAAATCGCTAATTATCTGTGTTTGATTAAGGTTTCCACAAACTGATCTTCCTCTATCTTTGCAACCGCTCTTCCGAAGTTCAATATAAACATTTCTCTCGTTTCCTACCCGAACTTGTATTTAATGACTGCCGCCAGTCTAGTTGTGTACCAACTATTTTCTGGCTCAGGCATGCGAGATTTTAATATCAAAAGCGACATAAGACACATGACTGACTTCATCTTTAAAGTAAAGGTTTTTATTACGCTTACCATTGAAGACGGCCTTCGCCAAAAGGAAATGAATGCTTGCATGTGGTAGTGGTGTCTCGTATCTACGTGATTTAATCTTCACCACGTGACTGGTTTCTTCGCTGTTGCTACATTTTAGTAATTCAACTCCAACAGTGTTAATCAAAACGAGAAGACAAGATAAAGGCTTAAAGGCTAGTTGCTACTTCAAACGTCTAGTTTTTCTTATGAGCAGTACCAGCAGGAAAGAACACGAAAGCATTTTGTGTTTTGATCATTTCTTTCAGAATGGACAAAAACTACATTTGATGAAATTTACCGATGAAAAAATTAGGAAGAGACAAAACATTTTGGACTGTATCACCTATTCATGAGCAAAAGGAGCGTTATTATAATCACTTTTTGTTTGTTTTTTATTAAGCGATGGCTTACGGATAATTTACAGAATCTCTAAAAGTTTGAACAAAATAAGAATAGAATAATAGAGTAGAATAATCGGTTTTCAATAATATCAGGAGGAAAGTATCAAAGAAACATAGTATACATTTGTTCCTCACCAACAGGAGCTGATAACCGATTACCCATGTTTAAATACTTCT